CAGGTATATATTCAATGTGAGTAGGTGTTCGCGGATGCTACCCAGGCACGCATGTAGTTGGTCTGGTTGAAAGAATTCCCGTGGGCATACGTACATTGCCTAAACAAAGAAATGCATGACTTTAGGGACTAAAACACACGTACTCGCAATGATTACAAAGTTAACATGAAGGCAGTTAGTGTAGTAGGCTTCCATCAAACTTTTCGGACAACGGTAAATTTACAGCTATTCGTTTTAAACTTAAGCGAACATGGTTTGTAGTTCCTGGGATTACCTTTGTCATGAAGCCTTATAGGCATTGACCAGCAATGTTATTCTTGATCTTTGATACCATTCATACAGTACATAAAATGGAACGGTTATCGGATTGGGCTATCCGTGGATTGTTGTGCGTCCTATAATCTCCGCCTGGGATCTATTGGCCCCCAGTCGCTGGCAGTCGGCCCAATCCATAGTGCTTTGCTTAGGGTCACGTGAAGTCTCGTCAACGCCATGTTGAGCCATTCACGAACTGTCCATCCAACCCGCACAGTTATGATCAGGTCACGTTAGCGGTACTCAACTGACACTCCGTGCAGTTGTTCCACATGGTCTCCATTCCCAAAACTACTGCAGTCATCCCTCAAGGCGGATCTGCTGTCTGATCACCGACTATCAGTGCCACCAAAATATTATCTCGGGTTATTACCTACAGTGAGAATGCACTAAATGATGAAGGCCGAAAGTTTGAATATAATGTCATATCGCCACTAGTTTTGGTCACAGACAGACAGTACCGTTGTTTTTAGATGTATTCCAGTCTACTATAGTGGGATACTGGTACGACGGATCTATAGCATCGTTATTTTGACTCACTTGGACCAGTAGATGGCTTATCCTCCTGGGACAAGCACTGTATCCAATACCGACCGTTTTCTATCCGCATGTCATGCATCATTTTGGGGGTGGATTGGACCCATTATTCGATACTCGAGGGAAAAGCAGGACTATCTCCCGCACAGTCGATGGTTGTAACAAGATAGTATGGGAGGTTTTGTTCAGCTAGAGAAGCATATTTGTCAGGAAGGGATCACAAACTCATTCACAGTTTACAAAATAATGTGGTACAGACATACCAAAAAGCTATGAAAGAGACACTGTATCAGATGCGTCCATGGGGGCTACTTTTGTCAACTGTTGGATCTTCCAAACCGGGGTCATTGACCATGCGACTTATGGGATGCAAGAAAAAGTCAAAAATTTCATTAATACCCATCAAGTATACATTTGGGATGAGCTCCATTAGTTTTCCACCATGAGCACAATAACTTTACCATCAGACAATGTAATCCATATCGAAGTCGCCCTCTCGTGATCTGCGTGCGTCCACGCCACGGTCGGCTGTCACTGACAGCATGGCATTCTAGTCGATAACTTGATTCTTAATGTAGCTTTGGTGCTTTTATATCCCATTCATCACTTATTAGTCCTTCTTATTAGAGTCGATTGATGATACTGCCATCGAAGAGAAAAATCCAAATGTGCTACTCCTTCCTGTATATCGTTGTAACTGATTCCAGTAAACCTACGCTAGAATATTGGCTGGTTCGTCTCTCCATCCCATTGTCATACATGGGCCCATGTGTACTGCAACCGCGTGACTGATTCCTGAACGCTTATCGTGTTGAGATGGGTGAGTTGGAGGCCCTCCGATCTCTCATGTTTCTTGTTTGACTGACCCGAATGACAGTTTGATTCTTCAGATCAGCTAGATATGTGAAATAACCTTGTCATACGCTCACCTAAACCCATTAATGTATTGAAAAAGTTAACAACCAAGGCATAACTTCTAACCAACAATGAAAACACGGCAACGACGGAGGTTACTGAAAGTCGTAGTGGTGCTGTTACATCGCCTGATGACAGGACGTAAGAAAGCGAACGCGTAGCTTGGAGAACAGCTTGATATCTTCACTCCACAGCTTGCTTCTGCATCTCACTTTTCTACCAATGTCGGCGATCGTCACGGCCCCAACAATCACAATGACTTCCGATGGTTTCGGTTTGTAATATGGGTCAATTCATAGTAACTTTTCACAGTCGAATCTCGTGAAGCAGTAAAAGTGTGACCTCAGGTAGACCAGTAGCGGGGAGTGTAAACTGTGCCACACGTCCTTTCATGATACCGAGTGTCCATTAGCTTTGTAACATGACATCCGACATTTAATTTTAGTCATCTAAATATATGGTTCAACGTATAATTTCATCTGGGCCACCATCCAATAACTGCCTAGTAATGAGCACCAGCCCTATCGATTGCGACTGTATGTATAACACGTTCTCTCTAATGTCTTTCCCCCTTTGAATCCAGCCCACTTCCATCATCCTAGCTAGCCTTTATCGTGTTCATCTTTTTGGTGTATTTCCTATCTGCGTTAATGTTTACCCATCAATGCAATTCTCCCCTCCTCGCGGTGTAACTCTCTCTACAAACTTATTTACCTCACACTACTATATCCATCTTCATCTCACAAAACTTGATTGGTATTCATATGTTGTACATCAGCGGTGTGGCTTAGCGGCAGCTTTGGTTGCGATATTTGCATGCATACCGCTTTGCTTCTCTATCCACAGTAGTGTTAGCTCGGTGAACACCGAATACCGGATGGAAGCCGCAAGACGTGATGTCACTGGGTAGATACGTCGAAAATCCCTTAGGTTCAATGACCTATTATGTTGGAGGGCCTTCCCGATATTTCATGTCGGAATTTCCTGAATTCTGACACCGACTTTGCTTCGACCACATGCGGCGGCAATTGGTTTCATAATTGCACTACTCTTCGTTCGAAGTAGTTGGTGAGCGACTCTCTTCAAATGCGGTATCACATAGGTAGTAGTGGCCTCAGCATGCGGTAATCAACGAGATGTACTATCCGGTACGTCAAAATGAGGTCAACCAGCACTCAGCGATACGACAGGGTGTAAAGTCCTAGCCTCTGGCACCAGTCTTGGGACGGCACACCTCGTAAACTGGGGATCAGCCCGGTGGCCACATGCTGTACCTGTTCAATCCTTTGTTCCTCGCCCCGGGGGATAGGAGAGTATGCGGGTAAGCCGTACTCTAGCATTGGTCGTAGTATTGAGACGAACAGGCGAGTGGTAATCTCCACAGACCAAGTGCGGAAGCTGCGCTTGAGCGTCCAAAGCATGCGAACTCTGTTCTGGTAAAGCATACTTATGTTGTCCATGGGCTTTAGGTTGCAGCGTGAGAGTACACCAAGGTATTTCACAAAGGCATGGAATGCAACGGTTGATCGGACACAGTGTAACTTCAACTGTGTTCACTCCTATCTGGGCTCATGAGTAACGACGATCGGATTTGACGGAAGATTGACTTCTGCAGACTACATGAAGAGGCGGTCTAGGTCACGATGAAGCAGGTCACAGTCATCGGGTGCGCCGCTTACTCTCCACACCTACAAATCATCTGCAAACAACGCACAAGGCGAACGGAGAAGCTGTACCACACCGTCTATATGGAGCAGGAACGAAAGGGGTCCCAGTAACTTGACCTGAGGCACGCCACTGGTCGAGGAATTCTAGTCGGTTGTCGACCTTGGCCCTCCAATTTCAATCAACAAGGAAATTCCTAACTCAATTGGGACAACAATCTGCCAACACTACACACACTCAGCTTGTGGAAAAGGACCTCACCGTTCATATTGTTAAACGCCATGCTGAAGTCGATGTAAATGACGTCAACCGAATTCTCATGGTTCAGCGCTTGCAGCTGCTCTTGCCTTGTCGAGAGCAGGTTGTTGATGCATGAGCGACCTTTCACAAAACCGTACTGTGTGAATTTCAAGATGTCTTTTGACTAGAGAAGCTGCAGAACACCCTTCATCACGATCTTCTCAGACCTCTTCATCAAAACAGCCGTCAGGCAGGTCAGCCGGTAGTCGCCCAAGTTACTTGGCCTTTCGGTATTGGCTTTACTACTACGCATTTCCACACGCTCGGTAATGAATCTGCGGACCGGGACTTGTTGAACAGCTCAGTCCCGCAAAGTGAGTGGATGGCTGGGAATGAGTTTAGGTTTCGTGGGTGGATTTCATCCGGCCCGGCAGGCTCGGTGTTGTCAAGACTGGCCAGCAACGTAATGCAGGGTATCTAGTTCGAGAGGAGCGGTACCCACGATTTATGAAGAAGTAGCTTGGTCATGTAACCCTGGATTAGTTTCTACAACGTTTGCACGCTCTCGTCACTCCTGAGGCCCGACCAGAAGCTCTCTTCCATTTACTGGTAGAATTCCTTTTTTACACATTCCATTTGAACCATTTACTTGCTGCTTCTCCTCGATCTTCTAAATGCTAGTCGACGACCACACGTCACTTTGTCTCAAAGCTTCTTTGTTTCAGACAGATTATCATTCCAGGATCAATCTCTGTCCATTGTCAGCATCGTCAAGGTGCCCTATCAACAAACTAAGGGTGAATACCAGAACGGTGACAAAACACTTACCACATGGAAAATAACCTACTTAGGTGGTTAAACAGATAGAAATCGGGGGTTGTCCACTTTCCATGCATTCCACGACACTTTCGACCTTACTTGATCTAATCAGGTAGGAAAAGCGGGCCTCAAACCCGTGGTTCATTACCGTCAAATTCTAAGTTTGCTTTACTCAATCTCTGAGCACAGTGCACTTTGAGCGGCACCTGACAGTACCCAGTTTGGTGGTCAACGCATGAGCCATGTACTGGCAGGCGTTACCCATGTGCTACGCATCCGATAAACCATAACGACTGTTCTACGCGTTAGGAATAGGCTGGCCTTTTAGTAATAGATGGCATGCTCATTGCTACACTGTCAAGTGTCAGGCAACCACTACGTTCGTCTTTATGCTTCGGTGTTTCACTACACGTGATTTCGTAAGCATCGCTTGTAGACAGCTCGCTTTATATGCATGTAAAACATCAGACTTACACTTCTGCCTTTTCCTCGGCCACTGAACATTTTAGGACTGCACCCCAAATCCGGAGAGCACCGCCTGGTTTGATCAAACGGCGAATTCGTATTGGGAACTGAGTGATTTGCGATCTCGAATAGCCGAAAGGTGAGTGCACATGCGACCTGTTTATACACTGCGGCTCCCATGTACAATTGTCAAACGGTGATCTTTCTTTGGGGTGATTCGTTGAACTGAAACAACATCTATTGTGTAAAGACGGATGAGTATGCACATACTTTGACCACTCCTTCCATAAATTAATACTTGAGTACATTGAGAACGGTTGGCGGCATCCGGTTTCGGATTTGCCTGTCACTGTGGACAGCCACAAGACGCCTGCGCCTACAGAGGGGTCATGGGTGGCTTACGCTGCACCACCCACAACTCCATCCACACATCCCTTATCCGGTGTAAACCCGAAGGAATAAGACCGGGAGGCATGTGGATAGGAGCCACGTTTCATCAACGGAGACTGTCCACACTCCTTCACAGGCAAACACAAGCACGCTGCATTTGGGAATCAAGCGCACACAAGGCGGTGGCTGGACCGTAGTCCGCTCCACACTGAGTGCATGGAACCACTATTCGAGCCTAACGTGGACACTAGAACCATGCATCCCGTGCCCTCTAGCAACGACCAACTGTCTCCTGGAGCCAGCATGAACGAGGTAGTGGGTAATAGAGAGGTAGGTACCTTGTCAACATGCACATCAAGCGCCGCCACACCGGGGATATCAGGCAACAACCATTCACTTGAAACGACAAGCTAAAATATAATAACTCCAATAATACATACAGATACGGTGGCATAACTCTTTCCTATGTTACCATATGAAGTAAGTTGGTTAGTAACGAATCCGTGATAAGTAAGAAATGTCCACAAGTTACTTAAAAATGCTACAAACGCAGCAAAATTACCGAAGATAAGGGCAATTAGTGTAAGCAACGTGGCCAGTTAATAGAAGATTATTCAGGTAGTCAGAACAAACCAAATAAAGTGGAATGAAATTTATTCAGCCTTAAAAGATTTAGTTTAAGTTGGTTTAGCCCAACTGCGGTGAAGAAGCATCATGAATGCAACATCAGCCTCAGCATGAGGCACACATGGTTGGCGGCATCCGGACCATCACAACTGCGCTTAGTGACCCCTTTTCACCTTCGCCTCCCTACTGATTTGGCTGCGGATTATATGTGGCTATGTGTTGCGTAATATGCGGACTCAAATCAGTTCATCCATAACAAGCATCGTCAACCGGCTGCTAATTCTGGGCTAGCTGGACGCAGCGTCTCAAGTATCCGCCCATGGTATCTGCGCACAGTCCTTTACTGCCGATGAGCGCACTACTCCGTAGTGTGCCCAGACAACGCTCGTATCACGTGCTGCCAAGAACGCATATGAGCCAGTAGGTTACGAGTGCGTTACTTCCAATCGTACAATAAACGCGGACTCAGCATTTATTCGAACTCGCCAACTCAGTAGGCGTGAGCGGTTTTAACTTGTTTCCATCGTTGGAACAACTTACTAAACGAACAACTAGGTCGCTGATTCCTACCAGATCTGACAAAAACATCGCCTCCTGCTAAGAACTATGGTAGAATCTATGCATATGCCATAGAAGCAGGATAGGCAGATCAATGCCTATGAACTCCATAATGGATAGGTTTCCAAGGTGAGTAGTATGTCAGCATACCTTCCTTTCCTTTTCAGAGATGTACCGTTCGAATTCACCATTGGATTCCGTGCCCAGCTCAGTCATGGGGGCAGAAGTGCACCTCAGGTTTCACCGAAGGCATTGCCAAATGTGCAATACAATATGCTCGCTGCTTTCAACTTTGGTCCCGAAAAAGGGAACATTTATTTGCTGCTATCGGAGACACAAATCTTTGTGACCGACACCAACCGTGTGCTGTGGTCCAGCCCTCAAATGACTATTGCAGATACGAACTGGCATCGCCTAACGCTCAAACTTCCACATACTGAGGTTAGAACTGACGGGAACACGGCGAGTATGCCAAACGGAGTTTACGTGAGTCCACTGACTGGCAGCGAAACCTGCCTTTGTCGTACATAATGATTGATTCGTAGACCCGTCCCACTCTTTTTCATGTACCTTTAAATCTCAATTTACGTGTGATAAACGCTCGGGGTTGGTACCTTTACCATGTGTTTTGGCCGGCATACCAAAGCGTTTTATTGACTTCCTTTATCCCATTTTTGGCCTCAGTTCGATCCCAACGGCGATGTGCAAACTTGCTGGTTCAGGATGGTTATCTTATCTGCATGATGTCAAATAGTCATTAGTAATCCATTGAATCTCATTAAGGCCGAGATCAACCGTGGAATTCAATGAAGCATTTTGGCTTTGTAAGGATTGGAGCCATTATTCCTTCTTACTCGATCGGTTATACTCATAGGCACTACATTGAGAGAATTAAAAACTGTGGAGCTATTGACGCGCATACGAGATCTGATGATGTGTAGGACCTCCGAGACGTTGTTACGCTCTTGCTCCACTGTGCATGCCCACGTTAAGATCTGCATGGTCGTTGGGCCACTCTTTGTGCCGTGGTGCCTGTTCGCATAATCCATAGTACGAGTCGGAGCCTGAGAGCAGCAATCCCCTCCGTTCGTCATGTCAGTTTCGCTCTTCGAAACACCTTTTCTCCCAAGAGCGCCGAGGCGCGTTCCTAAGCCTCTTTCACTGCAGATGTATCATCATTCGTGTCTGGGTACTTATGTTCCCTCTGATTATTGGAATCACTAGATAGACTCCTGTTTATATATATATATATATATATATATATATATATATATATATATATATATATATATATATATATATATATATATATATATCCGCTTCTGCTACCTTGGGAGTGTGATGTCGACTGATCAGCAGCTACATGTTGAGTTGCGTAATCGCGTGTCGAAGACGGCAGCGGCGTTCGGGAAGCTTGAGTACCGAGTGTGGAACAACCATCAGCTTAGCATTGGCACGAAGCTGATGGTGTACAAATCTATGGTACTGTCCGTTCTTCTATACGGCAGTGAAACGTGGACGATGTACCGTCGGGATGTGCGATATCTCGAGCGGTTCCATCAGCAGTGTCTGCGACGAATTTTGCGGATCGGTTGGGGCGACAGAGTTGCAGACACGGAAGTGTTGCGCCGAAGTGGGATGTATGCAGTGGACGGCATACTTTTACTGCGACACCTGAGATGGCTCGGTCATGTGAGCCGTATGGATTCGACGCGAATACCGAAATAACTTTTATACGGTCAGCTGAGTATAGGGAAGCGGCATGCTGGGAAACCAAAGTTACGTTACCAGGACATGATTAAAGTGAGCCTCACACATTCTAATCCTGATTGCAGATCATGGGAATCGAAGGCGGTTGATCGTGGTGCATGGCGCGATCTAATCACGAAGGCAGTTGCTGAAGTGCGGGAGAAAGCCCTCATGCATGCAGAGAAGAAGCGGCAGTTGCGGAAGCGGCAAGCACCGATGAATTGTACTTCATCGACATCGAGCTCATTGTGCTGTAGAACATGCGGTCGCGAGTGCCTTAGTCAGGCAGGCCTAGTGAGCCATGAGAGAGGTCACTCGGGACCACTACCGAAGCGACGACGGGTTCCGCAGTGAATGTAGGCAGCACCGGCGCAGCGTTTGTAGGCACGCTAAATTCGATTTACTAACCGCGTGCTTGCATGCTATGTCTCTTTATTTCAGGTGGTGGGTTTTCGGTTCTCTCCTAATGCCTTCCTTTCTCATATAAATGTCTAGTGGGCCATGAGCGGTGCCATTTGGGGCCACTACAGAAGCGACGACGGGTCCTGCAGAGAATTACGGCGAGCGGGCGCAGCGTTTGTAGGCTCGCTGAATTCGATTTACTAATCGCGTGCTTGCATGCTAAGTCTCTTTATTTCAGGTGGTGGGTTTACAGTTTTTTTTCTTTCTTTTTCTTTTCTTTCTTTCTTTCTTTCTTTTTCTTTCTCATATAAATGTCGACCTGTACTCCATTCCATTAACTTGCACACCTCGCTTAAGCCAAGTGTATTCGATTTCCATAACATTTTTGTGTTCGTGGCATTCCGTGAACTATACTTCCTGACCTCGTGCACTTAGCTAGGATCTGTTTGTAAACAACTTATTACATATGCTATTTACTTAAGGTTTATATCACCGTTTCCTTACGCATTAATCGAGTTTTTCTCTTTTTCTTTCTCTCTCTCTCTCTCAAGTGTTTGGCTGTTGCTTGATATCCCCGATGTGGCTGCCCTTGATGTGCATGTTGACAAGGTGCCTACCTGTCTATTACCCACTACATCGTCCATACTGGCTCCAGGAGACAGTTGGTCGTTGCTGGAGGGGACAGGGTGCACGGTCCTTGTGGCCGTGTTAGGCTCGAAGAGTGGTTCCATGCAGTCAGTGTGGAGCGGACTACGGTCCAGCCACCGCCTTGTGTGCGCTTGATTCCCAAATACAGTGTGCTTGTGTTTGCATATGTGAAGGAGTGTGGGCCGGCTCCGTTGATGAAACGTGGTTCCCATCCGCATGCCTCCCGGTCTTATTCCTTCGGGTTTACACTGGATATGTGGTGTGTGGTTGGAGCTGTGGGTGGTGCAGCGCAAGCCATCCATGGTCCCTTTGTAGGCGCAGGCGTCCTGTGGCTTGCCACAGTGACAGACAAATCCGAAACCGGATGCCGCCAACCATGTATGTATGTATGTACAAGCACGCTGTATTCGGGGAATCAAGCTCACAGTAGGCGGTAGCTGGACTCTGGTCCGCTCCACATTGGATGGTGCCACTCTTCGATCTACGGACGGTCACAAGGACCATGCACCCCGTCTCCTTCAGTAACGACTAACTGCTTCCTGGAGCCAATATATTGGCAGTATAGTGAGTAATAGATAGGTAGGCACATTGTCCACTTGTACATCAAGCACGGCTACACCGGGGATGTCAAGCAACAGCCAATCCTTTGTAATGATGATAACAAATATCTATCGCGTGTAACCTACGGATATGCCGACATAACGCTTCGCTAAATGAGCATATGCACTAAATTAGTTATATATATATACATATATTATATATATATATCTATATATTTTTAACCTGGATAAATTTCATTCCGCTTTATTTGGTTTGTTCTGCCTCCCTGAACAATGTTCTATTAACTGGCCACGTTGATTACACTAATTGCGCTTATCTTCGGTAATTTTGTTGCGTTTTGTAGTATTTTTAAGTAACTTGTGGACATTTCTTACTTATCACGGATTTGTTGCTAACTAACTTACTTCATATGGTAATTTGGCGAAGAGCTATGCCACCGTATCTGTATGCATTATTGGATTTATTTTATTTCAACTTGTCGTTTAAAGTGAATGGCTGTTGTTTGATATCCCCGGTGTGGTTGCGCTTGATGTGTATGTTGACAAGGTGCCTACCTGTCTATTACCCACTACATCGTTCATACTGGCTCCAGGAGACAGTTGGTCGTTGCTAGAGGGCACGGGGTGCATGGTTCTAGTGTCCGTGTTAGGCTCGAAGAGTGGTTCCATGCAGTCAGTGTGGAGCGGACTACGGTCCAGCCACCGCCTTGTGTGCGCTTGATTCCCAAATGCAGCGTGCTTGTGTTTGCATATGTGAAGGAGTGTGGGCCGGCTCCGATGATAAAATGTGGCTCCCATCCACATGCCTCCCGGTCTTATTCCTTCGGGTTTACACTGGATATGTGGTGTGTGGTTGGAGCTGTGGGTGGTGCAGCGCAAGCCACCCATATATATATATATATATATATATATATATATATATATATACATATATATATATATATTTATATCGATCAGCACCAATGCCGATTCGCGGCAATATTGAAGATTGCAACTCCGGTGAACGCTGAACGAGACAGACAGTTTTGCTTGCGTTGGTGGTAAGCCCGAATTTGGCCGCTATCGAAGCCAGAGCACTAGTCATGTGCTGCAACTCATCCGCGCTGTGTGAAAACAACGCACAGTCGTCAGCAAACAGCAACATACGAATAGTTGCATTACATACTAGAGTTCTCGCACCGAAACGACGGATGTTCAACAACCCACCATCAATATGGTGCTCCACACGAACACCATAAGCATAAGTGGCATCAAAAGCACAAGACATGATTGCATGAAGATAGATATTAAACAGGGCAGGAGCTAAGACACAGCCTTGCTTAACACCAGAGATAACTGCAGTCATTCGAGGTCTCTCAACTCAGCTGCACCCTCGCTCGCATACCACTGTGCAGACATTCAATTAAACTTACAAACTTACGCGGGCAACCAAACTTACCCAACACCAGCCACAGTGCCTCGCGGCTCACCGTATCAAATGCCTTGGTGAAATCAACAAAAAGCGAGTACAAAGGCTGGTGTCGTTCTCTGCACTTCTCTTGCAACTGACGAGCCGCAAACACCATATCTATAGTGCTGCGACCCGAACGGAATCCACATTGCTCTTCCGCCACGTTAGGTTTCACAACCTGAGTAACGAGGCAGTTGAGCAGGATTCGGGCAATGACCATGCCCACACAACTCAGCAAGTTGATGCCACGATAATTCGTGCAACATCGCTTGCTCACTTTGCCCTTGTACAATGGTAGCACAAGGGCATCCTTCAGCTCAGCAGGCACCTCCTCCTCAATCCATACACGTTGCACCAAGTGGTGCAGCGCAGTCACCAACGTGGATCCGCCGTGTTTCAGTACTTCAGGCGGGATCCCGTCGACCCCAGCACACTTGCCGTTTCGCAACTGTGCAAGTGCTCTCTGCGTCTCATCCAGTGTCGGTGTGTCTGCCAGACTCGTCTTCACATCGTGCTGCTTGAGGCCGTTCAAGTTAGGCCAGCCAATCTCTGAACGGTTGTTCAAGAGATAGTCGAAGTGTTTCCGCCAGATCTGCATTATGTCTGCAGTCTGTGTGCAGGTGGCGCCTGAACTACCATCGATCAGCGTCCTCAGCGGCTCCAACCTCGGTCCATAC